ACACACACACACACACACACACACACCATGTATACATGCATAGGCACACTCATCACACTCACACACATTCACAGTCATCACACTCACATTCATCGTCACACTCACAGTGCACTACAAACAGAAAGACAGCAGAGGCAGGCCAGTGATGAGGAAGAAGCCGAGCCTTCCAGTCCACGGGCAGTGAGACAAGGGGCCTTTCTGACTGGCTGGCTCTGCTCCAAACTCATACTGCAATAGAAACCCCAAGGACTCGATCAGGGATCGGTAGGGACAGAGCCAGGGTCTTCTTCCTGGTCTCTCACATCCCAGAAAAGGCACTGGGAACTGGAGCCGCTCACAGGATCTGGATTTGAAGAGAAGGGAGAGTGGCTACAGCCTCAAACTTTTCCTCGGAACTTTGTCCCTGCTCCTCCAAGCCACTCCAAGGGACCTTCTGCCCCAAATAGAGTTTGGGGAGGATCCAGAGTCTCCAGGTTGGGACATGTTCTGGGCCCAACCCCACAGCCCTGCCCAGTGAGGATCTCCCTCCCTTCATCCAGCTGGGCCAGGGCCAGGAGCTCATCTGAGACCAGGATCCTCTGTGGACTCTGTGAGAGGCAAAGACAGAGCAGGAGCAAGACAGACTCAAGAGAGAGATCACAAATGGCCATCTATTGAACAAGGCATTCAGAACCCAGAGTGTGTCAGGTGGCAGACTGAGCAAAAACTGCCATTCCAATCCTGCTCCAAACATATAAAAATGCTGGATGGTACATGTGTAAATATTTTACACATTCTAAGCCAACCAAGAAAGTACAGCTTGCAAGTTCTAAGAGAGGAAGCAGAAGCCTGTCCTAGTGACAGGAAATGCCAAGCCTGAATATGAGTTGTAGAATCTGAGATTCTAGTCCTTACTTGGGCGCTGGGACCAGGCTGCAGGTTCGGCTATTGGCAGGGAGTCAAATCTGAGCTCCCAATGTGAAGCCGGATGTCAGAACTGATTAGAAGAACAGAATTTCTTAGCTGCCAGCCCGGCATTACTGCAGAAGTTGAGAGACTCTCCCAGGCCATGCATGGAAGAAGGAACATGCACAACCCATCCGAGCCTTAAA